CACTCTTGTGTGCAATGCTACCTGCGTTCTCAATAAGAAATATTTTGCTAAGTAGATATCATCCCCAGCCTGTATGGAATAATCCAGTTTGGGTGGAGATCATTGTGACCAGGTCGTTGACCCTATTCAGGATAAATTGGCATGGCAGGAGGTTGCCTGGCCCAAGCTGAATGGCCCAGTGCCCAAGCCAGAGGCATTTTTGTGCATTTCAGAGCTGGTCTATGACTCAGCCCTCTGCCTCCTCAAAGGTGCAGGAGCATGCCTGCCCCCCAATATCCATATCTGAGGCTGGGCTGCAGGGCTGCGGGTGGAGAGGATATCTACTAAACCTCCCCAAACCAACCACCTTGAGTGGGACTCCAGGCCTCTGACCTGATATAAATAGGTAGATGTTACCTGGGTGACAGCATACAGTTAGTGACAAAAGGAAGATGAACGCTGGCATTGTAGGATCAATAGATGTGAATTAAAGGACATAATGAGTTCACTTGCCCCAATATCGCCCCCTCCCCCCCAAGTGTTTTCTCTCCTAACTCCTTGAACTTGATCCCTGAACGTAACTTCTGGCTCTAAAAGTCTGACATTGTCCACTGAATGAATGAATATATACTTAGGAATTCTTTAAATATAACACTTTAGGGTTTTTTTCCCCTAGTTTGTTGGGGTTGTTTTTTTGTTTGTTTGTTTTGTTTTGCTTTCAGAAAATCATCTCAGATACACCCACCAAAAGGCTCTCAGGGTTTTCTTTTTTTAGTCTGTGCCCCAGAAGAGTAGTTTCCACGATGCGAGCTGAGAAAGGACCTGTGTGTTGTGCATGCCGCCGAAAGCTATTTCCAAGCACAAACTAAGTGGTTTTTAAAAACGAACACATGGAATGAGTCCCGTGGTTTCATGTGTAGCAGGAAAACCCACTTCACCTCCATCCTAATCCGAACACTGTCAGGCCTTCTGATCGTAAGCAGTCATGATCTTGGACTTGAGAGTGGGGAGGAAAAGATTATGTTTGACTTAGTCATTTGCAAGAAGGTAAATGGTTCTTGTAGCGAAATGGTGTTAGGCTGTCCACCTCCACTTTTAAGCCGCAGTGAGGAACGCCATAGCCCTCCCTGAGCTGTAGAGGAATACACCCATGGACTTGGCTGATCTCCAGGGGCTCGTTTATTAGCTCACATTTCTGTCTGTACAACTTCTCCGTCAACAGAGTACTCCCTGAGTTCCTTTTGCCTACACTGCTGTGGGAGCTGCATAAAATGTCAGAGCTGTGCCTAATGCGTGGCCTTCAACTTCAAGTCCTTCGCTCTGTGGGGAGAAGTGATGGATGAGCCGTGAGGGGACACACAGTCATGTCTTGGTCAATTGTTATTTTCCGCTCAGTGCCTTTCAGCATAGACAGTTCTTCTTCATTTCCTTTTAAGGAGCAAGTATTAAAGTTCCAAAAATGTGTTCAGTGCTGGACTTAATAGATAATGTTCATTCAAAAAAAATGTAAACACCTTCTCCTAAAATTCTTTTGTGTAGTAGGCACAATTCTGGAACAAATACTTAAAAAAAAAAAAAAAAGATTTGTTGTTGTTGACAGTTGACCTTTTTTTTAATATTTCTTTTTTATTTCAGAGAGGAAGGGAGACGGAGAGAGAAAGCTAGAAACATCAATGATGAGAGAGAAACGTTGATTGGCTGCCTCCTGCATGCCCCCTCCCACTAAAGGGGATTGAGCGTGCATGTTCCCTTAACTGGAATCAAACCTGGGGCCATTCAGTCCCCATATCAACAGTCTATCATTGAGCTAAACCAGCTAGTGTGACAGTTGACTTTTAATATTCTATTCATTTCAGGTGTGCAGCTTAGTGGTTAGACATTTTTATCCCTTTCCAAGTGATCCTCACAGATAAGTCTAGTACCCACCTGGCACCATGCACAGTTATTGCAATATTATTGACTGTATTCCCTCTGCTGCACTTTACATCCCATTTCTATTCTGCACCTACCAATTTGTACTGCTTATTCCCTTTAACCTCTTTCATCCAGGTCCCCAATCCCTGCCATATGGCAGCCATCAGTGTGTAGAGCAAAAAAAATTTTAGACCACTATTGAAAATTCAGAGAAGGGTATATCCTTATCCAAACTAATAGAAGGATGTACTTTCATTCCTAGTGATATCACCTTTGGATGTGGGTCTGTGTGCCCTTTGGCCTTTTGTTAACTACCGTATTTTTCGGACCATAAGACGCTCCGGACCATAAGACGCACCAGTTTTTAGAGAAGGGAAATGAAGAAAAAAAGATTCTGAAACAAATAGTGTCCTAAAATATTTTATGTGCATTAAAACCCAACATCACAGTCATAAACACATGTAATCAACCCTGTAAAGTAAACAGCAGCATTTAGAACCATTTTAGAGCCGGGCAAGCACACAGAGACCACACAGAGCCGGGCAAGTAAAAAAACTTTTTTTTTAAAGTTTATGTGTAGGCTATATTTGGACCATAAGACGCAGGGACTTTCCCCCCCCCACTTCTGGGGGGAAAAAAGTGCGTCTTATGGTCTGAAAAATACGGTACATCCCGTTTTCTACTGTGGCCTGAGCGTGTGTGGCCACGGTCAGCATAAGTGCTGCTGACCTCCCTAACCCTCTGTATTTACAGCATGGTGATTTATTAACATGTACTTAGGTGATTTAGCTTAATTGTAGAGCAACGGAGTTAGGACTAAGATTTCCTGATTGCTAATGATTTGGTTCCACTAATTTGTTTCTGTGCTTCCTTTAGCTCGCAGATCCTGTTAGCTGCCCCGAGACACAGTCTTTCCACCATCAATAATGCTCTAGAAACCGTGACACTCCTTTGGGCTTAACACCTCCAATTCATTACCTTGTAATTGAGTTCTCAGATATGCAGGTGGAAGAGAAAACAATGTGTGATTAATGCCTCAGTGTGAATAAGTAGGAACTGTACATATAATGAATGTAACTTATTTTTAACTTTCTCCTGCAGTAAAATATTGTGTTGATGAACAGTTACCAGGCTGAGGTTGAAAAGGTTTCTATTAAAAATTATAAGCTCCATCAGCCTGCGGACTCAGGGGTCCCAGGTTCAATTCTGGTCAAGGGCATGTACCTTGGTTGAGGTCAACATTCCCAATAGGGAGCATGCAGGAGGTAGTTGATCAATGTTTCTCTCTCATCGATGTTTTTAACTCTCTATCCGTCTCCCTTCCTCTCTGTAAAAAAATCAACAAAATATATTTTTAAAATAATAATAAATAATAAAAATTATAAGCTCCCCTTACCCCAAAACTCAACTGCATGAAATCCAATGAACACAACCTCTAAAATTGTTCAATAGCGCCCCCTAGCATACATAGTTTTAGGCTATCACTAGGAAGCAAATTCTAGTTTTTGTTTCCTGTCTAAAAAGTGATTTTTTTTTATGTGTCTAGTTATATTGGCACGTTCTTCACATTATTCAATTGAATGTCTGGAGGTCACTATACTCAGAGGATATGTAATACAGTAGAATAATTTCTTGTGCAAATATTTTCACAATGATTTTACTTTAACTCTGGCTTCTTCTATTCTGTCTCTGCTCTGGTTGGCTGGTGTAAGGAGATTTTTGTTTTCCTTTGGAATAGGTCACGTAGGAAAGAGAAAAGAGTAGAGCGGGGCAGGTTCCTAAAGTAGATTGTGGAAATCCACAGGGTAGACGTTGTATATTGACCTGTGTCCTTGTGGAGTGTTAGACCCTCTGGGCTCTATGATCTTGGGAAGGCTCCTTAACCACTCTGTAACTTAATTTCCTCGTCAGTAAAATGGGTTGATGGCTCACAGAGCTATTGCACAAACCATGTGGTGAGTGCTCGGTGACAATCAGCAGTTGTTACCATTATTTCACCATGGATGCTTGCGTGTGATCATGACCTAGAGCTTGGGCTCTGATATCAGAAAGGCATGATGTCAAACCCTCTGGGAGACCTTGGGCAAGTTGCTGAAACTTGGTTTCCTCAGCTCTAATTGAGGATAATGGTAACTACTGCATATAGGTGTAAAATTAAGCAACGTACACAATGTGTAGATTGAATTCTATAGAACGAGTATAGTGTAGACCCCTTGACTTCCTTCTGAAATGCTAGGTAGACAACACTGAAAGGACTTCAGTTAGGGGTATTTTAAATTCTTCTGAAAGAATCAATTTTGTTTCTAAATGGAAAAAAAAAAGTTATTAGTTGTTCTTTCTGTGAACCATCTTAGCCTTGGAACAGTTACTCTGACACAGTAATACAGTAAATGGTGAGCCATGTGGAGCTCACCACTACCTAATGGGCATGTGTGGCTTAGAATCCAATTTCCAAGACAGCAAGCACACAACAATCCAAACTGTGTCTCATTTCCAACGAATTAGGGGCGACGATGACATGCCTTGGAAATGTTAGAAGACCCAAAGAGTGAATGACCCTGAGTCTGAAAACACAGATGGCAGGTGCCCCTGAAAAGCTTAAATTGCTTCATAAGACGTGAGTGCGGAGAGAGCAATGCTTCTCACCTAATGTGATTTCTCACACGCTATGTGTTTTAAATGTGTGGCGCTGAATGAATAGACTGAATGTCGTAGGCAGTCACCTGACTATATCCCTGGAATTTAAGCTCCCAAGACGCACTTCCAAGGATCTTTGGAAGAACGGGGAGCGTTCAGCATGTACTTGAACGTGTTTTTCTTCTTTGCCAGTTTCACATATTTTGGCCTTTTCCTTGGGAAAAGGTGTTCCCCTAAGTTGAGAGGCAGAGAAAGAGGGAACAAGCAAACTGTCTCTTCGGACGTATTTGCCTGGGAGGGTCTAGAAGAGAGAAGAACGGAGACCAGGAGATCAAACACTCAGAAACCACTTCCTATAGCAGTAGGCCGAGCAAACGAAGGCTTGCTTATCCTTCATAAACCCCGCATTTGAAAGCCTCCTCGGAGAGATGAGAAATGACAGGTCATTGGTTCTTGCCTTTCCTCCCCAGTGTGGTGTCAGGCTGCCCAAGGGGGCCCCATCCCATCACGGTCCCACAGCCACAGTAAGGGCTTGGCTCATGTGTCGTGTGGGCGTGGGACACCAATTGGGAGGGGACGTGTGGGGAAAGGAGCGTGGGCGCTTTTCTAGGAAGCTTCTAAAAGCCCGAGAAGATAAGCAAAGAGAGGCACTGGTGGTTAAACACACCCCTCGTTAGCATTTCAGAATCAATTCTGTTGGCAAAGTCTAGAATGAAGATATTTCTAGCAACCCCTGTTTCTCCAAAAGGAGACTTAAAAGGGAAGAAAAAGAATGGTGCTTACTCTTTCTTGCCTAAGCACCCTATTTCCGTGTTAAAGAGCTTTTTCAACCCAAATGCTAGCTACAGCCAGGCAGTCTTTTCCTAGCCCCGGGCTAAAAGTGCCTCAATAATGGAACCACGCCAGGTTGGATTATTGCCTGTCAGGACTGTGGATAGAATTCTAGTGACGGGCTCCATCCATCCACGTTATAAAATAATCAGACCAGGAACGAATTGACGCTGGTGTTGGCCAGCGAGCCCGGGGGGCGCTAGTAAAACATTTGTGTCCTCTGTTTGCTCCAATTTCTCATGGGAGAATAGAAGAGAGTGTATGGGCAGCTAGCTAAATTTAGGATTAACCAGGTCTAATCACAGAAGGGATGGAAGAAATAATAAATGGGGAGGGGGGGGGGGGAGAAAATCAGTTCTTTTCCACCAGTCAAAAACTCAAAACTCCTATATGTGAAAACATAAAAATAAATAAGTACACTTTTTGCCTGGCCTGTATGGCTCAGTGATTGAGCGTTGACCCATTTGGGGAAAATCCAGATGCCCAGGCCCACCCCTCCCTGGCCCAGCCCCTGCCCACCTCACCCCTACATCTCTCATAGGCCCTCCCGGTGCCCCAGGCTCTCTCTGGCTATACCAGGTTCCTTATGGTTCTCAGTGAGTGCCATGTTCTCTCCTCTCCTATCCAGCTATGCATTTCTCCCCGGGACCCAACCCTGCCCAATTCCCTCTGCAGGATGCATCCCTGACTCTGCCTCTGAGTGAGGTGCCATCCCCAGCACTTCCCCACACATCCTTCTCTCACTTGGAAACACCTGCTCACTCTCCTATTGGTTTCTTACAGGAGGACGATGGTATCTCTGATTTCTCAGCATGGTCAGGCACGTACGTACCATTGAACAGTGTCTTAGTGAAGAATGGGGCCAGGAGGTTCCACCACTATGGTGTTCCACTGTGAGTGGGATGAGAGCCTCCAGGCACAATGGACACGTAGCATGGGCAAGAGATAAACTTGTATAGTACGGAACTACTGTTGTTAAGGGCTGTTTGTTACTGCAACATAACCTACCCTGTCCTAACTGATGCATACTGGGCAAGAATTGACTATGGCTCTTCCATTTCAGGTTCTGACGTATATAGGTTAGTCCTTTGAAAATCTTGGAGATGCATCGTCTTGTTGAAAATATCCTCAACTCAGAGTTCTCGGTGTGATTTATAACACCAGTATGACCTCCTCTTGGTAATCGGTGACATGGTATCTTAATGCCTTTGTTCTACTTTGGTTGGTAGATAATAAAATCATTTCTGAGCAATTTCTTAAAGCACTGTTTACTTTTTAAGGATTATTTTAAACATTTCCAGTCTACCTTGAGAAGCAACTATGTGAAAAATATTGGGTGCTTTAAACATGACTTGCCCCATTGGACATTCGCTTGATATAAAATGAGGTGTGTGGCTGTATTTTATTTTATTTTATTTTATTTGTATTTTAATCTTTAGAAAAAGGATTTCCTTAAAGCAGACATTTTTCATGCCAACTTCATCATGACTGAATAATTCTCACAAAATACTACTAATTCTAATGATCTATTTGGGTGGGTAATGATAACGGAAGTGTTGACTTTGCATAATTATGATCCTGGTGGGCCCAAGTCAGCAATTGCATCCCCCAGCTTGGGCCTTGTCACTTGTTAGCGTTCAGAAATTTTCAGAGTGAATATGACTCAGCGGATCATCATCACTCAAAAGATACAAGATAAAATTCCTTTATATTTGAAGGAGGCAGTGTCCTATCTCATGTTAACACCACTGGAGAAATCACACATGAAACATCACATGAGATTGTTTCCTTACCGAGTACATTCTGCGGGTTACTCCCCACATGCTGGGATGATTTCTCATTTATTGCATAGCTGAAGATGTGCCTACGTTTTATATTTATGTGTGTGTGTGTGTGTGTGTGTGTGTCCTTAAATCTCCTAATTCTGGTTCATAAATAACCTTTTCTAGTTTTCATGTCCTTTCTGAAATGCAGTGTTTCCAACGTGCACAGCAGCACAGTCGGTGTGGCGGGCGGAGCGCTCGGAGAGTTCATATTCAGTGCCTGGTGTCTTTTCCCTGTGTAGATCCCTCTTTAGCAGTCTCCGGAGCCATTATTCCCAACCCCACTTCTTTTCTCTCGGCCTCCAGCTCCCTGCCTCCAGCTGGCCCCTGGGATTTCTTTATAGTTCTGGGCCCAGAAAAGAAGAAAATGAGATTTCTCCCACACTTCCAACCCAGAACCAACTCCGGGGACCCTCACAGGCTGCGGCTGCCTAAGTCCTTTCTGCCGCAGCGGGATAACACAGGGACTGAGCGGGGAGCGGCAGCATCCGTACAGGTGCTGGGACCGTCTCCAGCATCAGAGAAGCTAAGGGAGGCGCAACCTCCTCTGGACACTGACAAGGGCGTTCTGTTCACACAGGAGTAAAATTATTCCAAGCCCAGGAGAAAGTTGTTTGATGTGCTGTTTAAATAAACCTGTCACTCCCTGACATTAGTTTGCAAACACTTAGGGGAAAGGGAGGTTTTTTTCCCAATGGATGGAGCCCCTAAGTAGGAGCTGTTTGAGGGGTTCCTTGCCCTGCTGGGCCTCGCTGTGGACCCCCGGGCAGCCCTGTGGAACCCCAGCGCTGTTTGAAAACTGTCATGTGGAAAACCAACTGGGGGGATCCCTGATCGCGGAGGTATCTTTTCTCTGAAATAGAATTCAGGTCACCTGGGCCTCTTGTTTGAAATGCAGGTTCCTGGGCCAGGATCCCAGACAGGCGTGGATTCAGGGAGTTTGGGCGGAGACTGGGATGTGGATTTCTGTGCGCTTCCAGATGGTTCCAAAACCAGCACGAGCGGGTCATGCACAATGCTGCATGAACTGTGGTTTCCTGGGGCTGCAGCTGAGAGCAGGAAATAACTGCAGATGGGTTTGGGGAGACGTTTTGAGTTGATGGAGCTTTTCTAAGATTGGATTGGGGTGACAATTGCACAGCTCTATAAATTTATTAAAATGTGTTGTTTAGTAAATGGTAAATTTACAGTGCCAGGCCCCTGAGCCAGGTGGTGTGACCCTGAAGGTAAAGAGAAAACCTGGGCCCAGCCCTCCTGGGGTTAGTGCTTTAGGATTCTCTGGCTGCTCTCCCACCTGCTTTGTAAGAAATTAGGCAGCTCATCTGTTGTTCCCTGACGACATCAGCAGAGGAAACAATATCTATGTCATTCATTTCCAACGTTCATGAAAACATTCTTAAGTTTAATGTGTGAGGTAAGGAAGGTAAAACAGACTGCAAAGTGTGGTCAGTGGTTAGAGGGTTAGCCCATGCACTGAAGGGTCACAGTTTGATTCCTGGTCAAGGGCACATAAATTCAATCTCTGGTCAGGCACTTGTGGAAAGCAACTAATCTCTCTCTCTCTCTCTCTCTCTCTCTCTCTCTCTCTCTCTCTCTCTCACTTTCTCTTTCTCTCCCTCCCTCCCTCTCCCTCTCTCCTCCACCTCTCTCCCTTCCACTCTTGCAACAATCAATGAGAAAAATATCCTGGGGTGAGGAATAACACAAAAGAAAGATACACTGCAAAGGAATTGTAGCGATTCTTTCTTTCCTTAGAAAATCACAAAATCACCCTATATTTTGGAATAGCAATGTTATACAGATAGGTTCATGTTTGATGGTCAGTAACAAACCACCACCAGAACATACAAGTCACTGGAATTTCATTGATGTACATGGCTTTTGTGATCCTGGGACAAATATGAACTCAGAAGAGTTCATTTGAGAGACCATCTATCTCAGGTGCCTTCTCACATGGCTTTGCATGTGGTAAGAAAGGTGGGTTGACCCATGTGAGTTTCATTCTTCCCCTTAGCCTGGGTCTTTATTGCCATACCCCTGGTTCGTTGAATTTACTATAGTATATAGTCACTTCTTAAATGCTTTAGAATAGTCTTTCATTTTAGGGGTATGTTTTGTGAGCAAAGAATAAAGCACCTTGAATATATTTTTTAAAATAATGTCTGTGAAAATACAGATGAGTAGAATGATTGAGCTAGCGTGCTGACCAATATATCAGCATTTTAAGGTCTGAGAGTGTCTCTTTCCCATCTGGCTGGTTTCCTGGGAATAAAAAATCAGATTATGCTAACAGCAGAAAGTGCCTACTGACTATAGGCTAGTACTGAGCTTTACTCGTTCAATTCCAGTGTTTGTTGTGAGTGGGAAATGGTCGTTATTTTCAGTTGTGTTCTTGTCCGTGTCAGTGCTAGAGTCTCATGCAAACTTTATGCCTCAGCATCTTGATGCCTTTGTCTTTTACAAAGAAAACGCACTGGAATCAGTTCCCTGGGCAGGTCGACAAAGGCAATGATTGTGCTCCTCGGCTCTTCCTGGCCCTAGAATCTTCTGTTCTTGGATTCTTGCTGTTCTCAGTAACTCAACCTAAAAAATCAAACACCAGTCGCACATCATTTTCTAAGCAGAGTTGTAGCTGTTATGGAGCTCATCGCTTTCTTCATGACCACATTCCCTGTTCAAACGTTCTGTAGTTCTACCTGGACAGCGTGACCTCTTTGCCAGGACATCGGTGCTTGTGAAGTAACCAGCTGTGAAGAGTCCCAAACACCTGGAGTCTCTGTGATGAAAACCCATGCGATTGCTGAAGTGCTGGTTCTCATCTTGTCTTTTCTATGTGTGTTTCAGGAAAAAAGTGCCAGTTCAAATGCAAGACTTAAAACTAACAAAGAGATTCCGGGATTAGTTCATCAACCCCGAGCAAAGTAAGTTCTCGTTCCTGTTTTTATATTGATTTTAAAGCTGAAAATATTTTCAGAGTGAGTTCCATTTTGCCTACCAGATAACCAACTTATTATAAAGCTTTGTTAACTAGGATCAGTGTAGATGGGAGAGTACAAAAACAGTCCATGGTATATGACAGGGCAGGCATTTAAGTGATCCCAAGAAAATAAAGGGTGATATCTTTATGGAGTAGAGAAAATTTTGAATAAGTCACAAAGGATGCGGATCCCAAGGAAAATGATTAATTATAGTGGCCACATTAAAATTAAGAACTTCTGTTTATCCAAATACACTGTAGGAAAGTAAAAGGCCAAAAAATGATGGAGCGAGTGTAATACAGGTCGACACATGTAACTGACAGTAGTTGGATTTGCAGAATACATAGAGTATTCCTACAAGTCCATGAATAAAAGGTGGAGAACTCATAGAAAAATAGGCTAAAGACATGAACAACCCTTTCACTGAAGAGGAAACAGGAATGGCGAATCGATATGAAAAAAATACAAAATGTTGACCGGGATATGGAACACGGGCAACTCCTAACGCCTGCTGGTGGTAATCTGAATTGGTACAATTACTTTGGAAAACAATTTGCATTATCTACTAGAATTGTCCCTGCACATACCTTCTCAGCAGCAGCAGCAGCAGCAGCAGCAGCATCACTCTCAGGGCAGAGGAGGGAAACGCCCAGCCCGAGGGCTATATAAGGCCCTTGAGAAGTCATTTGGTCTCGCCTTGAAAAACAACTGCAGACGGAACTCAAAATTCAATACGTCTATGAGCTTTTTTTTTTCTTAGCAACATAAATTTCTATCAAGTGAGTTATATTAATTGAATGATGTTATAAAGATCCAAATGGCCCTTGGCAGAAAAATGGTCCCCACCCCGGCTGTAGAGACACCCTGGGGCATTGGGCCCGCAGAAATATCCATAGCAGCACTGTTTCTGTGAGCTCCTGCAGCTCTCGGATAGCTCCGAATGGACGGTGTGGCTCGGTTGGGTGTTGTCCCATGAACTGAAAGGTTGCTGGTTCAATTCCAGTCAGGACACATGCCCAGGTTTGGAGCTCAATTCCCAGTAAGGGGGTGTGCAAGAGGTAGCCTATTGATGTTTCTCTCCTCCCTTCTTCTCTCTCTCAAAATCAATATTAAATTTAAAAAAAAAACTTTTTAAAAAATGTAATGGCTAACAAAAATGCAGCATATTCTTTTGATGGGAATACTTCATATCAGTGAAAACGAACAACCTATAGCTGCACATATCAAGAAGGAATCTGCCCTAGCCGGTTTGGTTCAGTGGATAGAGCATCGGCCTGTGGACTGAAGGGTCCCAGGTTTTATTCCGGTCAAGGGCACATGCCCAGTTTGTAGGCTCTATCCTCAGTGTGGAGCATGCAGGAGGTGGCTGATCAGTGATTCTCTCTCATCATTGATGTTTCTATCACTCTCCCCCTCTCCCTTCCTCTCTGAAATCAACAAAAATATATTTTTTTTAAAAAAGAAGGAATTTTACAAATGTAAAGTTACAGTGGTAAAATAAGTAGTAGTACCTGCCTACATGTAATTTCATTCATATAAAGTTCAGAAACAGGCAGAACCAAGGAATATAGTATATATGTTTTATATACTATCATATACTTTTATATGATAAAACAACAGACAAGCAAGGAAATGAAAAGGCGTTAAATTAGGAATTGTGGTTCTCTCTGACTCCATGGAAGACAGTGAGGCCACAGGTTCTAATTCTTAATTTGAGTGGTGATTCCATGGATGTCCCTTTATTATTATTTAAAACCAGACCAATAACATGGTAGGTTTTCACACAATTAGAAAGTTAAAGAGAATTATGAGTCCTTTTCTAGATTGCTCTAGAACTGAATCTACCTTAGTGATAAAACGGACTGGGTGTGACATGAAAGCCAACTCCCTTTTCCTCAAAGAAGCTCTGGTATCTCAGAGGATACAGATCTCTGCTGTGGGGCTCCCCTAAATATTAGCAAATCTCCTGGCAGTCTGGGTGACATTAATAAACTCCACACAGCCCTGCCCCATTCCAAAATAAATTTGGCCATTACATATGTGTAGCAGTTGCCCCACGAGTCAAAATCATGAGTAGAATAAATTGTGTTATCTCTGATTCCTCCCAGGAAATGGAGACAAAAATAGCCTAGTTCCTAATCACGTTAGCCTGGTCCGTGTCTGTGGCATTGCTTCAGCCATGGCTACTGCCATGTGGCGATTAGGACTCTTCAGGGGGCGATAAATGAGCTCAGGGATTAAAGTTTGTCTATTTCAAAGAACACGAGTCATTTAAAAAATCCACTCATTCCCTCCAATGTCGGTATAATGGCATGGCCGGTGTTTGAGCCCGCAGGTGAGTATGATGCTGTGCTCACAACCCCCCTCATTCACTTCCTGGGATCACTTTGACCTACACGAACAACAGATATCTGATGACAGAACCTCATCCTCTTTTCATCCAAGCCAGCATGCTATTTTTAAATGCCTCCCTTATCGCTGGGTTCTAAGCAGACACCGGATTAAGGAGAATTTCTTTTTCATGTCGAAATTCTAACATTCATGTAGAATGAATCCTAATTTAACTGACACACTGAAACAGCAAGTTTTGCAAACTGGCATAAAGCTCTCAGAGAACTTGATTAAACTGGCTCTTGTGTTTATACTAAAATTATGAAGAAAAATCCTCTGTTTTCTACACAGTAGCATCCACGTGTTTGTGTTTGTGTGTGTATGTGTGTGTGTGTGTGTGTAATCTGTCAGTGAGAGCATTGAGTTCATGGAATTCCACTCAGAAATCCTTCTGGAGCCCAAGAGAGGAGTGTTACTTCTCCTACTTGCTGACTCACAGGATGAAGGAGGCGCATTTATTATGCAGTTGTAAAAAATAAGATAATGAGGGTTTGTTTGTTTTTCCCCCCAATAAGTGGAAGGACAATCTCATATCAGACAATGGCAAATGTGTTGATAACAAAGGCAGGTAATTCTCACATCTTCACTTGATGCAACTCTTGGAACACATTATTACAACTTTGTGATCTCAGGCAAGTGACCTGGTGTCTCAGAGCTTCAGTTTTCTCAGCAAACAAGGAGGGAGAGCAGTCCTGTCTCCCAGGGCCGGGAGCATCGAAATCATGTACGCCCAGTGCTTATCACAGTGACGCGGTAAGAACGCCTTACTATTGAGAAAACACCCAAATGGCCTTTACCAAGGAAGTGGAGAAAATAAACTCCACCTTCTTCGCACAGTGGAATATTCAAGTTAATATTAAATTAGTTCATTGAAAGTTATAGTATTTAAATTCATTAAGATGAATGCACAAGGCTGGATGGGCCTCGTCAATGTAATGCCAGAAGAAATGAGTAACCCCTGAAAGATTGCATTGAGCGTGCCATCTCTTTTTGTAACTTTTTTTGTAAAGTTAAAAAAAAAAAAAAAACTAAATCATGGTGGGAGGTAAGTTCACTCTAGGTTGTGAAGGTCCTAGCTTTTGTTTTTTGTTTTGGTTTCATGGGTGCTTATTAGACTATTTTTAAAAACTAACAAACAAAATAACTAAAACTGAGCCTGAGCCATGCATGAGCTACAAGCAAGGGTGTGTCATGATGTGAGGACTAGGGTTAACCCCGCTTCCCTGAGGCCCAATTGAGAAATAATGATGATGACCATGAAGAAATAACCATGTTCAGGCCAAGATCTGCCGGGAACTCACTGAGTAACTGAATTTCATTTTTGCAGGTGACGTATGAGGGAATTGGGGCCTTGCCTTCTCAAACTTTTCTGGCTTAAGTTTTTATTATTTGGAAACTTTTCCTTCAGTCATTGAACATGAAAGTCACGTGTCTTTCAGCCCCAAAGCTCATTTTTCTCACCTTCTTTCTTTATTTTTTTAAAATATATTTTTATTGATTTCAGAGAGGAAGGGAGAGAGAGAGAGAGAGAGAGAGAGAGAGAGAGAGAGAGAGAGAGAGAGAGAGAGAGAGAGAGAGAGAGAGAGGAACATCAATGGTGAGAGAGAATCATTGATTGGCTGACTCCTGCATGCCCCACCCTGGGCATGCAACCTGACTGGGAATCGAACCGTGACCTCTTGGTTCATAGGCTGATGCTCAACCACTGAGCTACGCTAGCCGGGCTTACCAACTTCATTCTGTCCATTCGCTTACTTGTCAGGAAGATTCCATCATGTTGTCATATCTAGTCTCGTGGAGCTGAGAAGTCACAGAAAGAACACCTGTGCTAGCACAGGGTTCACTCATAAGAGCACTGCCAAGGTCAACAGGGCCACACACTGTCCTCCATGCGATCCTAGGTTTTCCCAGTTGGAGTTGTCGTTATTAGAGAAAAACAGGGATCACTAAAATTGTTAAGCTTCATCAAGGCACTACCATACAGGCTTTTGCAAAAGATTTTTACATCTAATTTAGCATCAAGTATTTATACTTTTTAAACTAAATCATAATTCAATTATTCCTTTCTAATACCTGGAGGAAACGTAGAAAACCAATGTGCTTTTTCCTCCTCCTGGCTCCCCACTCACGGTCCTCAAATTGTGCATCAGAAAGCCCCCAGGAATCTCGTTTCCTAGGGACTGTTTCTCACAGTGCAGTGTAAACTTTTGAACAAAAAACAAAAACAAAAACGTATTAATGCCACTGTGTTGATGGGTTTCCATAGGAGGAGAGTTTGTTCACATTTGTCTAAGCAGCAGTCAGTCCATATGGGCTGATTTATTGCGTCAGCGTACAAATCCTATCTCTGCCGTTGTTGGCGGGTTTCAGGACTTCTCTCTGAAACCATCCCTTGGAAAAGAGCCGAGTAAGCCGCATGCGTACAGGTACATCCTACCCAGGAGGATGCACAGGTGACAGGGACCACGTGTGTGCCTTTGTGCCTTGTGGCAGCGTCTGTCACTTCCCGGGACAGCCGAGTTTGTCTAAAAGAGCTTATGTAGAGCTCAGGATTGGACGATAACTAAGTCACCCTACTAACACACTCTAACACAGTCCACACGCTGTCTTCCAAGGGGCAAGATAGCGAATGAGCCTGGTGGGTTGCTCTTCCTTGTAGGTGTCTGAATGAGGCAGAGGCAGGCAGAGATGCTGGACTGCTCTTAGACAAGGGAACATCAGGCAGCGTCTCTGTGTCAAGGTTGTGATCCTAGAGATGCTCTGGATTGAAGGCTTTGGTTAGAATTGTCTCTACAAGGGGACAGTTGTCGTCACCATCACCTTTGGTCCCAAGCTCCTGATATAGACTTGAGCGTAGACATTCTTTTTTATTGAATTTATTGGGGTGATATTGGTTAATAAAATAATATTGGTTTCAGGCATACAATTCTATGAAACATTGTCTGTTGATTGTATTGTGTGTTTACCACCCCAAGTCAAGTCTCTTTCCATCACCATTATCCCCACTTTCCCTTCTCCTCCTTCCCCCTCCTCCGCTTTCCCTCTGGTGATCACCATACTGTTGTCTGTGTCTGTGAGGTTTGCTGTTTTGTTTGTTTGTTTGTTTGTTTGTTTTCTTAATGGGACCCAGACACTCTTGCTCACAGGAAGGCAGACCCATTTGGAGAATGGACTTCACTGAAGAGTACCCCTTTGTCCATCTAATGTGCACATGTTGAGTACTAACCACAATCCTTGTTTCCATGCTATAATAGTTCAATAGAGGAGTGAATGGAAGTTAGCAACAGTCAGAGAGCGTGAGTGCAGGAAGGTTTTCTAGATGAGCTATGAGAGGTGTGTGCCTCACCCCTGCTAACATCTAGGTTGCCTCTGTGAGGTGATGAATCATATGCATTTAAATAGAGATCATGTGGTCAATTCATATCCTATATATTGCCCTTCCCATCAGTGATCTCAGCTCTGCTTACCCATGGTACCACATTCCTCTCACGAGGTTTGCTGTTAAATGGGGTAAGACAAGCAAACACACAGGGCAAGTTCTACCCAAGCCTGCCTCCTGACTTTCTCCTTTATTCCAGTGGAATTTCTGCCCCTGAGAGGCGCATTCACTGTCGCCAATGCAGAAGGAGTTCAGGGCCAATGTCAAGTTCTCAGCTCATTTGCTGCCAGCCCACATCTAGACAGCTGAATAGCACTTTGCAACAACTCATTTCCATAGAATAACTAGGGTTATACACGGGGTGGAAATATGCCACCTGCTGCTTGCCTATCTTTCTCAAATCGTAAATCTGCATCTGAAGAAAAATTTGGCACATGCTTTCCAGTTACACCACTATAAATAACATATACATTGACAGGAATTTGTGTTGTTGTTTTTTAAATCACGGGCACTGATAGACCCTTATGAAATGCATTTGTAGGATTACTTATGAAATGCATTTGTAGGATTACTGTAGGATTACTGTAATAACACTTATTCTTGCTGTAACTTCAGAGTATTTCTGTGGAAAAGTCTGCACTAAAGAAATGTCCACCTCCAAGTTTAGGGACTCGGCATTTTTCTTGAGGGAGGAGGCTTAAGAAAACACTGAAATATGCGCTGTTTGTTTTTCAGCATGCACATCTCTGAGAGCCAACAAGAATTCTTCAGAATGCTGGACGAAAAAATCGAAAAGGTAAGGAGCCAAACAAAGTACATGTTTCAAGACGAATTGCCTCTCGAGTGAGGGTCACGAAGTTATTCTTGTAAGAGGTTGGGTAGAGAGTTAAAACAAAAGTTCCCCCCTCTAGAAAATGTGACTATGAGAATGTGTCTAAGGAAGCTTCCCAGGATCCTGGGCTACCCCCAAACGTTAATTGAAGTGGACAACGCCAGGTAGAGACGTGTTGTCTAGGGGCAGCGTTCTGATCACTGGGTGTTGATTGCCCCTGATGCCCTGCTCTGACCTCAGACTGCAAGCAAGAAGGTACCTGCCAACAGCGACCTAGTGCCTGACACTCCTCTTAAGTTCTTACATCCTATGCACATTGCAATCAGTAGCCACCTCAGGGTAATGACTATGAGCATGTATTACCTGCATTTTACAGGCAAGGAAACTGAGGCTCAGAGTGCTTGCGTAACTTACCCCGTTTTGCAATGATGATAATAATGATAATGACATGTGGGGTCCACTTCTCTGTGGCTCCAAAGCAGAGTCTCCAAGTGGCTCCTCTAGGGATGTGTGGGTTTTACATTGATAGTGAGATGCAAGGATGATCCATGTGGAAATGGGACCCGTATTTATGATCTCCGAGTAGCAAATGCTAAGCAGCTGACTGAAGTGTGGTCTATGGTTAATAATTACAGGCTTGCATCCTTGGAGAATTTAAGGTCATCGCTGCAGAAAGGTGAATTTTAACTATAAAATCGGAGTGTTATCACTTGAAAACTTTATTCAGAAGAAGAGTAAAATCTTAACTTCAGAACATGCCATTAGTATAAAAAGGCATCCCAGGCCAATTTTACCTTTGAAATTTGTTCTGTTTTCATGTTTCTTTCTTTTTTTACTTTTTGTGGTCCTTTTATCTCTCTGAGCATTTGTCCATGAATTTCTCAGTTGTGATCTCTACCACTCAACAGAAGATAATGAAGAGGTCTTAAATTCATCAGTATTTCAGCAGCAGAATAATTGTACAATAAGAATAATTATATATTCTAATGCACCACTAAAAGACCAGCAAATATCACCAGTGTGAAAATAGAGATGGATAATGAATTTAAATGGCAGTTTAGTTTATATCACTCCCTGACTGTACAAAAACCTCACTTTAGGAATATATTTTATTTTTATTTTTAGTGAAATTTTGGCTTATGCATGACTTTTTTAGATGGAAATTTTACCAAGTTTCACATATTGGTTCAAAAGCTGTTCAACTTGCCGATACGTTTTGTTTTAGTAAAGAGAAGCATGAAAAGAAATTATCTGTCCCCACTATTTTGGTGAAGATCTTTTCATTGTCAGTTTATTTGGATTTTTTCCTCTGCTAGCTTCCTGGTGGCCAAAAGATCTGCTTAGTAGTCAGGGGTAGCCTGTAAAAACTGAAATCCGAATTGTAATTTGTCTTTTAAACAACCTATATGCATCTGACACAGCATTAAAATGATCTAATTCCTTTCTGGTGAGTTTCCATAATTGAAATTCTACCTCCTTTTTACTCAAAAGTGAAATTCATAGTTTCCATCTGCAATTCAGTTTCCACTTTTCCTTTTGCATCGGGGCGTAGAGAGAACGATGAGTTAAAAACAAAGAGTTCCCATTATGGAATACATTTTTTAATTTCTCAATTACAGTTGACATACAATATTATATTAGTTTCAGGCGTACAGCCCAGCGATTAGACATTATATAACTTACTTAAGTGACCACCCGATAAATCTAGTTCAACAAGGGCGTGTCATTTCATCTGAGCTGGGCCAGGGCTAAGTCTGAAATCCCTTCCATCCAGGTCCAAAAAAAATTGAGGGTTTACTGTATAAGGAACCAGTTACAACACGGAACATTTGTATAAGATAAGGTTCCTTTATTTAAAGGGAACCTGAACACGCTATTTATTAGGAAGATGGGGCTGTAGGAAAACCATAATTTGGATTGATGGTTTTCTTGTGTATAAAGTAAGAAGAACCATTTTATAAAAGGCCGTTTTGTTGAACGCTGCTGTTTGATGGTAGTATGGCGGCCGGGGGGTGGGGGTGGGGGGGTCCAAAGCCAGCCACCAGACAAGAATGCTTTTTACATGTTCTCATGTGGGGGAAACAAGAAGCAGAGTCCTATTTTCTGACATGAAAAAATATGTGAACGTCCAAATTCAGTGTCCACAAAGTTTGATTGGAACACAGCGACCCTTTTTTTTTTTTCCTTGCTTTTTTTCTTTCCTCTGTGGCTGCCTTCACACTTACATCGCTAGAGTTGAGTTGCAGCAGGAACCATCCGGCCTAGTGTGTTTGCTGTTTGGCCCTGGACAAAGAAAGGGGCCCACGCCTGCTCGAGAACATCAGCTGAATGTGGCCCAGAGACAGGGGCACCCACCTTCTTGGTCCCTGCTCCTCCTCACTCCTGGTTACTTCCTCCTGGGGAACAGCATCTGTGAGGTCACCTGAATGCCATCATCAGAGAAAGCTGGAGAACCCTGTGCCATAAAGCTTCTCCAATAGCCTCCCTCTTGTCAGTGGAAAGAGGATTTGGGTTTATTAAACACTTCACAAGGGGTAGGGATTCAAACCGTTTAGTTAATACTCATTCTCTCTTACAAGCCGTTTAGTTAATACTCATTCTCTCTTGGAAATGAAAAGCCCAACATACTGGAATTGTTGTCACTGCTATCTGTCTGTCGGTACCCTGGGGATCCTTCCCTTCTATGGTCCCAGGAGCTGTCAGAGGCTGGAGTCACACTCCTCCTGCTCATGACAAACCCAGACCTTCTTCCAACTGAAATAATAACATGCGCATCTAATTAGAACAAAGCCTGTTAGAAACAGAGACGGCCATTAATGCCTCGATTGATTTTTCTAATGAACTAAGTCAGGGGAGGAGACTCACACAGCGCAGCTAGCTCATGACTTCTGCTTTTCTTCGGCGTTTGTTGTACATGGTTGTTGGACCACAAGTGAACATGCTGTTGAGGCACACCCTGTCTGGAGAGCCTCTGTGAGTCCAGCCCTGACCACAGCCCCACAGGAGGAGGATGGAAGAGCGGCCCTCCACAGGGGGCAGGGGACGTTTCCCTCTACTTTCCCAGCCTTCCTGCCTCCTCCTGATCGTGTCTGTTCTGGATTCCAGCTTGCGGTGCCCACTGCCCACGGGGTGGAATGCGGCCCTCCCGCCCTGTACTCCTGCTTCAGGGCCAGAGCCTCACGGCCAGATGCTCATAGGAACTTGCATCGGAGGTTGTCTCCTGCTGGTGATCCCTGGAGGGAAAGGTTGCAGGGGAGGAGTGTTAGGGGGACAGAGACGGACTGTTAAATTTCTGCACCAAAATCCAGGTGTGGCACATTACTCAAGATCCTCTTTGGTGCTTGGAAAGCCGATCAGTTGCACAGAGCAGGGTAGAAAGCTATGCGGGAGGCATAACTGAGTCAAGAAAGCCCACAGTCGGGAAGAGCGAGGAGGAAGACGAATCATGGAAGGAAGCAGATAGTAGGTAGGAGAAACGATATTCCACACAGGCCAGAAACTAACAGGTGCCCCCAGCATCATCCCGAGAGATCGAGGAGAGGAGGATAACTTCTTCAGTCGGTCGGTCGGTCAGTCAAAACACAAGAGCCTGCTTTGTGACAAGTATAGTTCACACTTCCAGACAGAAATAAGCCTCGTTTAAGCCAACTTTTATAAGAGCCTTCATTACAAAAATGCATGTTTGCCTTCACCAAACATGAAAACCTTGACTAGTACATGTGAGGTCCTATTTTTTAAAATTGTGGGGAAGAGACACCAACGTGTTGTTCCACTTCTTTATGCATTCATTGGTTGGTTCTTGTATGAGTCCCGACTGGGGATTGAACTGGCAACCTTGGCATATCGGAACGATGCTCTAACCAACTGAGCCACCTGGCCAGGGCTCAGTGTGAGGTTCTTTAATGCAGACCTCGGTGACAACAGCAAAAGACATAGTTTAGGATGCCTGACTGGGATGTTGTGGAAAGTAAACTAGACGTCCTTCCAAATGTGGTTTACACAGGTGTTTACTTATATAAATAAAAATGGTGAATAACAGACCGTAGCCTTCCGTTATTCACTATTGCTCCCCCTGCCTCTGATGTGCCTCTCCTGAGCTCCAGGCCATCCTCAGAACCAGGCTCTGTCTCCGTCTCTGCTGATACTTCTGCTAAAGACATACTCTGCATTCGCTGAATTGCTCAAGAGGGCTGCTTTTTCCACCGTGACCTGCAAAATTTGCTTCGCTTATGAGAGTCCCAGGACAACTCTGTATCATGTCATTCAATATCCTCCACCTCCATCCCTACATACAGGTGCACACACACAGCACTACCTCCCTCCAGACACCCGCCTGTGCATTACCTTTGTGATAGGGGCCACACACAAGGATTCCATTAGGTACCAAAAGGACACATTGGCTGAAATCACTATAAAATGTGGCGGTGGTGGGAAGGACCACGGCGAGAGGAAGAGAGCAGCCCCTTGAACAGTTGGGGGAAATGTCACTTGAAGAGATGATGTTCTGATGAGATCCTAAAGATGCAATAGGCTGGGGGTGTGAGAGAGAGAGCAATGTGTGTGAAAACAGTGGTACCCGACAAGGACCTGCTGTTTGGGACATGTGGTGAGAGGGCCTGGTGGTGTTCGCAGCACAGGAGCCATCACTCAGGAAGCTTTTTTTTAATTGGTGGAGTTAAGTGGAGTGGATATTGGATTGATTTTTTTTTTTTCATGTTTCATCAAAATGCTGTGATGAAAGTATTTTTACACATACTTTTAACAACTTTATGGAGCTATAATTTACATACCATGAAATTTACTCATTTGACCTGTACAAGTCAATGAATGTTAGTAAATTTACCGAATTGCACAACCATCACCACACTCCAGTTAAAAAATCCCCATCACCTCCATAAGATCCCTCCTGCTCACTTGCAGTCAATCCTCTTTCCCACCTTCAGCCCAGGGAACCAATGTGTGTG